CCAGGTGACCCACCCTTCCTGAGCAGCCCCCACACAAGGTCCCCCACACCCACAGTGCCCCCAGCAATTGCCCCACTCCTACCCACAGATCCACATCCCTCCACATCCACCCACCCGCCTTCCCCCACAGGCCTTATCTCACCCCCTTTCTACAAACACCACATCCCCCCATCATACACCCATCATGTATGAAGAAAACCAAAAGCACATATCAACATATATAGGTATTTAGAATTTATTTTTTCATGATGATAGAGACACTGGTAGGCTTCCAAATTGCTTTAACATTGTAAATATACCAATAAAGCATTACCCAACTTATCACAGTTTCTCTCTCTCTAGGGGAGGGTGTGTGTGTGTAGTTTTTTTGTTTTAAATGTGGAAGAACATGGATTTGGGGGGTTTTTTTTAAATGGATTTGGGGTGCTGTTGCAGCAGTCCAGCTGGCACAAGGGGTAGTGTCTCCAGGTATCAATTGGCTGGGCCCCAAAAGCTCCTGAGAGGGAGTAGCCCAGAGCTGCTTGCCAGGGCAGCTTTTTGTACTGGATGGGGCCAGGACAGGGCAGCTTTTTATACTGCTGGGAACAGCACAAGTGCTGGCCCCAGGCTCTAGCTCCCCATGGGTGCGGATCGGGGAGGAGCCAGGCAGGGTTATTTTGCCCCAAGTGACACAATTTGCTCCATACCAAAGTGGATGTCCCAGCAGGAGTGCTGAGGCAAAAAGCCCCGGCTCAAATTTGCACCGCTTCTATTTGAGCTGCTGCGAGAGCGCACGTGCTTGCATGTGTGGACACACCCAAGGAGTCAAGCAGAATGGCTGTGAATATTCCTTATAGTTCAAATTCAGTGTTAAGAATACAGCTTGAGTTACTGAGTTTTGTGCTCTTATCCATAAGGATAAGATGACTGTAGGCTATGGATCTATTACTATGGCTTTTAAGCATAGTAGACCCTATGGTTTCTTGTATGCATTCTCTGAGAAAGGGTGATGCCTAGTACATCTATGTACAGACTTAGTGCTATGTCATCAATATATTGTGAGATGATTGCTCTGTTTTTGCAGCTGTACCACTCTCGGGCTGTACTACTCTCGGTCTGCTAATTTATAGTCTGAGTATATCTTCAGTGAACGAGCTTGTAGTTATAATCAAGCAATGATGGGTAAGAGTCTTCTATATTTCGCAAGTGCTGCTTTTCAGTGAAATATAAGCATCTTCTGTTTTTGTTTCTCATATGCAACACCTGTATTTCAAACTGTTTCAGTGATTATATGATTTCTAAAATTCTGTGTTTTGAAAATCTGATATTTTTTTCTAGCAGCGACACCTGACATTTCATTTGGTCTATTAGGTGGAAACAGATGTCACCTTTGTGCCTCCGTAAAAATTATTCTGGTGGCACAAAGTGAAAGAAATCAGACATCCATAATTTCTGTTGTGCTACAAGTGCTCACATTTGTGACCTTGACAGAAGGTAGTAATAAATTGGGCCACTTTATGGGTGTCCATGTCTGTTTGCTTATGGCAGAAATGCTTGGGCAGCATGAAACTGCCTGAGCTCTCCAGCTTCTGTGAGGTAAGGGGTCTGGTTCGTGGGCTTGATGGGCCCAGTCCTTTATACTCCAAGCATTCAGCACCCTCAAGCCTTGGAAGCACATACCTTGCTTTTTCCACTTACCCAGACATGTCTCTCCATGTGTGTTCAGTGTTGGTAAGATGAGCCCATAAAATCATATCTGTGTTTTGGTACTGACTTGTAATCAGAGTGGAAGTAGAGCAACAGTCAAAATCTGAAAAAGTATTAGTTTTATCTCCATTGGCTAATTTTCATGGTCCTGATGTTCATAGAATCACTAATTGGGGTGGATATGACCTGGTTTCCCTATATACCTTTTGTAAATGGACTGAAGTATTACAGTTAAGAACCAACCCTCCCCCCCCCCCCCCCCCCCCCCATCCCCCTACCTC